CATCCATCCATCCATCCATCCATCATCCATCCATCATCCATCCATCATCCATCATTCATCCATCCATCCATTCATCATCCATCCATCCATCCATCCATCATCCATCCATCATCCATCCATCATCCATCCATCCATTCATCATCCATCCATCCATCCATCCATCATCCACCCATCCATCCATCATCCATCCATCATTGTGACCACTTCCATAATGTTATACGGGGGGGGGGGACCGCAGCCTATCCCAGTAGTCAATGGGTGACAGGTAGGAGACACCATGAACAGTCCACCAGTCCATTGCAGAGCCACACAGAGACAAACAAAAACAAACAAGCTTTCCATGATGAGCAAGCATGAAGTGACAGTAGAGAGGAAAAACCCCCCTTTGGGAATAAAAACCTCTGGCAGAACCAGGCTCAAAATGGCGGCTTTCTATCTCACCAATTGAGATGTGACGGAGAATGCAGAAAGAATCCAGGAGGAATGACACTCTGATAGGGAGGAGGTTGAAGAAACACCAATGGAAAAGTTAGATGGTGCTTAGCTATGATGGCTGAGATGGCGATGGAGGTGGGTTGAATCTGCTCATCTTAGTCAAAATCAGACATAGCACAACCACTGCCTGCACTTTGGCTGGGTAGCAGGCTGAGTTGTGGATTTCAAGACCTTTTAAGATTAACTCTGGATGCTGATTGGGCTTCATGGAGGTGCGGTTCAAAGCTGATTGGTTTGCGTCGGAGGCAGATGAGCCTCTGATGTATGAGTGTAAGTAATTTAGTTTCTTCAGGTCAACTTCTGCGTAGGCTTCATTTAGTTCATTAGGTATCGATTAACAAGAAACTCAGTCGTTGTCACATCCAGCAAGCTGCCTTTTTTATCTGATAAAATGGGAAGTGTGAACTTCAGTAGGTGGTGAAACAACTGCCACTGAGCCCATAACGTAGGTTTAGTCTTTATTTTGGTCTGTTTTCACCATCTGAGTCAAACTATGTTGCTGACCACTATCTTTTCCGAAACTCGTCCAAATGTTAGAAGAGTAATCAGTTCATCTGTTAATAGCTGAAAGCAACAGTTGGAGATGATCTTTAAATAAATACAGTGCTGATAAACGGTCGGGACGTGAGCCTGTAGGTTAAGTAGAGATTTTCCCTGCATCTATTGTCTGCTGCTTTTATGGGCTCAGTGGAGGGAAACATATTGCAGATTTATAAACCTCTCAGGAGTGAATTACTAAATCACACACACATATATCATGTCCTGCTATCCTTATGGGGACTTTTCACTGACTTCCATTGATACATTACATTCATTTGTATGGCCAAACCCAGAACCTTTCCCTGATTAAAAGAGTGGAATCATTGCATTTGAAATCACATCAGTCAAAATCAACTCAAATCAATTTGAGTCAAAAATAAAACAAAATTCAGCAACATTGGGAGGCCCTCGCCTGGCGCTACTGTGGGACCGTCCCCACGCCTACAACAATATGGCCTAAATTCCACCTTCCTGATAGCAGTTCTAGCCATTTCCTATTCCATAGAGCGTGCAGAGAAAAGCAAAGGTTTCCAACAGTGAGAAATGGGATTTTCTGATCCCAGGGGGTGGGACTAAACTGATATCTGCAAACCTGTTTGTGGTGAATGCTGTTCCGAGATGTGACCTGGTTATAAAAAAACCATCATGTTCTATGGCTGGACATCAGATTTTGATGCTTGGTCACACCCACATGCTTTGATGTAGAAACATTTCTCTGGAACATTTTGACATCCCATGGCTTAGGTCAAAGTACAATGAATTTGAAGTTTGTAACTTGAAAGCTCTTGGAGCACTTTGCTCAAATACAGAGGCTGTAAAGTGCAAAATTACAGTGAAAATTTGACCTTCAATCCAAAATGGCCGACTTTCTGTGGGGTTTGGACCATGGCACTAAGAGACTTTTTTATGTATCCTGTTAGGTTATACATGTTTACCAAATTTCATAATCCTCACTTAAAGCATGGCCTGGGGCTTTTTTGTTCTTGTTATATGGCGAGAAGTTTTGATCCCTTATGCCCTAAATCTACGGTCAGCAAGTTAGAAGTTTGTAGCTCAACAGCTCAAGGAGGAGTTCACTCAGGTACAATATGAAGGTAAAAAAGCTAATGACGACTTTGATTCAAGATGGCCGACTTCCGGTGGGATTTAGATTCTTTGAAGACCAGTAAAAAAACGTAATAAGGGCCAAACATATGACCCGGCCTGTGTTTGGGTATAAAAGTCCGTATCTAAATGGAATCATAATTGATGATTGTCTCCATTCAGCCTGACTGAGCTGGTTCTATTGACTGGAGTGGAAAAGACAGACGATGGAAGATGAGGGTTAAACAACCTTCCATGACTAATTCAAACCCCAAATAAGGATTACAATCCAGCCAGAAGGTCTGTTATCTCTTGCATAATTCAATTAAAGGAATAGTGATCCCTGGTAAGGAAGCTGCTGCTAAGTTTCAATGTGTCTGGATTATTATATATTTTTTTGCCTCTCCCTCATAACACCTGACCCACTGCTCTAGTGTTTGACTGTAAAATGTTAATTACATCCTCACTCCTTACAGAAACACATTGGGGTTCTATTTTGCTGACACTAAATGAATAGACAGACATATGGAGTCAATTTGGCCCCGCTCCTCTGTGAAACACAAACAGAGAGCAGGCGGGCCCCTGGGAAAAGCTGAGCAGCTCCTCCTTTAAATCAACTCATTCACACTGCACCTGACTTCAATTAACTCCGACTGCAACGCCGCTCTGTGGTTGTCGATGGTCCAGGAACTCCATGGCAACGGAGACAGGTGATGGTCTCATCATCAGCAGCATTTTCACTGATTCAGATCACTGCTGTATTACATGGCAGGACTGTGAAAGATCTTTGTTTAGTATCAGAAAAACATAAATATTCTGAATATCCGTCATTTTGGTGGGTTGGCTCCTCCTGGGACAAACTCCATGTTAAAGCAAATAATAGCCATGGTTATTTGTTTGGTTTAGGTTATTATCTAAGAGTGGACCATTTAGACTTAAACAGTTGTAAAAAGTTTGTGACCAATAAAGAAACTAGAAAAATGTTTGGATAATTTTATGATATTGTAGCGACGATATCAAGATTTGGAAAGTGTTTTGATTTTTGGATCGAAAAGCTTTCT